TTAGGGTTTAGGGCAGTTATAAGTGGAGTTTTAAGTCCCGTAATATGGGCCATAGTTATAGTTAGCCTACTTCTTGTTCCACTTATAACTACCCATGAGCCTCCAAGCAGGGTTTAGGGTTTGAAGGCCGAAGCCAGGCCCTCAAAACCGGAAAACAAGCCATGCGCCCACGAGCTCAATGTAACACGGTTTAGGGATTTAGGGGTTTAGGGTTTAGGGTTTAGGGTTTAGGGGTAATGTAGAAACCTGAATATCTACCAATACTGTCCCTTGGGGTTGGTTCCAATCCTTGACAACGGCACATACCCCGAAACCCTGTTGCATCATCGCACCCTTTTGGCCGGCCTTGTAATAGCCCTGACAAAGCCGTCTAGAGAAGCCTTCATGGGAACTTTATAGAACCCGAAACTCATGTGCCTCAAGTTTACCGCCTCTCTGAGACCAGGTGACAAAGCCGACATGGTACCTGAAGCAGGGATACGAGACAGAGGACTTCACGCTGGCGGATCTCAGTGAAAGCACGGGGGAGGACGAGGAGAACCTGGACGACTTCCAGAGACTCATCTTGAGCGATATAGGGGCCGTCATAACTAGAATAGGGTTTTGGTGTATATTCTACTATAATTGTAATAAGGAACCCCGAAACCTTATTCTAAAATTTTGGCCCCTACATTAGTTTAGTAGCTCCCATAGGGACCCAGCGGGTATCAGCAGTGTTGCTGTAGCAGGACTAGCTGCGGAGGGTTTTTCAGAGTTGAGTTTAAGTTCAGGCCTTGATGGGCCAGTAAACCCTAAACCCTAAACCCCCAGACCCTAAACCCCCAAAACCCTCAACCCTAAGCCCTTAGGCGGCACATATTGGGCTCAGTCAGTGTTGTGTTGTTTTTCCTGTGCTAGGCATGGCCGGCCCTGAGGACAGATGATGGTGGGTTTAGGGTTTAGGGTTTAGAGTTTAGGGTTTAGGGGGAATCGAGGGGTGGAGGATTCTTTGTGTGTGGTGCCCATCAGCCTCCGGGTCAGACTTGCTGCCTTTTGCCTTGAGACCAGAAACCTTAGCTAGGGTCCCTAAACCCTAAGCCCTAAGCCCTAAACCCGAAACCCTAAACCCTACACCCTAAACAGGATTCGGAGTTCATGGCTCTTGTTACATCCTGAGGCCAAGGATATGGGGATTTCCGAAAATAGGGACCCTAATATAGTACCCTAACGAATAGGATCCCTATTGTAAGGACCCCAAAATAAGGTACCCTAATTTTCTGAAACTCCCCATATCGCGGCAATGAAACCCTAAGCCTTCGAGACACGGCTTCTGACCTAAGCGCCTTCTTCGACGAACCAGGGTGCTGAAGGTGAGGGTGATGGTATTAAACCTCTAAACCTAAACCCTGGACCTGCTTGATGTCAGTGTTTCTTGTTTTCAGTTCATGTCACAACATGTCCCAACACTGTCTGGTGCTTAGTAGGGAATGGGGGTATGGGTTGTAGGGACTACTAGAAGGGACCTTAAGGGACTATCAAAGGGATCCATTCCCCCATTCCCAAGCACCAGACAGAACTTGCTTGCTGTCAGTGTTTCTTGTTTTCAGTTCATGTCACGACATGTCCCAACATGTCGAGCCGAGGATGGGTGCTGTGAAGTCCTGGACCAGCTCCTGCCAGAGCAGCGAGGACCAATTCCCAAGCCCCGAACCCAAACCTTCGACATCTCGCCGGCAAAACCCCTAACCCCTAAACCCTACCTGAACCTACTTTTTTGTAGGTTCTTATTATAAACCCTAACTGGGAATTTATAGGGACCCTACAAAAAAAGTAGGTTTTGGTAGGTTAAGGTAGACTCTAAATCCCTAAACCCCTGGACACTACATCCCTAAACCCACAGGCCTTGAACTCTTGAACCGGGAGCACGACTCGGAAGAGCTAATATCTCAGCTCATCAACATACCGCGCACCCTTGCAGTGCACTACTGTTGATGGTATAAATCCTGCATGAACTTATGATGGGTAATGCAGGGTTTATAATATCATC